GAAGACTCATTAACAACTTGCAATATGCAGATGACCCCACTTTGCTTGCTGAGAGTGAGGATGACTTGCAGCACTTACTGAAGAAAGTTAAAGACAACAGCTTCAGTATGGATTACATCTCAACATAAGGAAAACAAAAATCCTCACAACTGGACCAGTAAGCAGCATCATGATAAATGAGAAAAGATTGATGTTGTCAAAGATTTTATATTACTGGTTCCACAGTCAACACCATTCAAGCAGCAGTCAAGAAATCAGATGACACATTAACACTTGGCAAATGTGTTGCAAAAGACCTCTTTAAAGTGTTGAAGAGCAGAGATGTCTCTTTGAAGATTAAGGTGTGCCTAACCCAAGCAACGGTATTTTCAGTTGTCTCATATGCATGTGAGAGCTGGACAGTCAATAAGGAAGACCGTAGAAAACTTGATACTTTCAGGTCACGTTGGTGAAGAATACTGAAAGTACCATGGCCTGCCAAAAGAACTAACAAATCTGTCCAGAAAGAAGTGCAGCTGGAATGCTTCTTGGAAGCAAGAATGGCCACACTTCATCTGAGCTACTTTAGTCATGTTGTCAGAAGGAACTATTCCCTGGAGAAGGATGTCATGCTTGGTAAAGGGAAGGGTCAGCGAAAATGGGGAAGGCCCTCAAGGAGATGTATTGGCACAGTGACTGCAACAGTGGGCTCAGGTATAGCAGGGATCGTGAGGCTGGCACAGGACCTGGCACTGTTTCATTCTGTTGTACATAAGGTTGCTGTGAGTCAGAGCTGACTTGATGGTACCTAACAACAACAGGGAAAAATACACTTATAAATGTGCATATTATCATGCTACGTTATCTTACTACAAAGTTTCTTAAATTTGTGGGATTGATTTTTTTCTGATATGATGCTTTATTGTTTGTGAAAATTAATGTTTCTAGAGTATATATATATATAAAGATAAAAATTCTGATACTTTCAGAACACATATGCAGTTAAAACAATTGTTTATTAAAACCCTCTTGAATATTTGAAAAAATGTTTCAAGCACAGTTAGTTGTGTATTTCACTTGTGAACATACATCAATAGTGTGTGTAACTTGTGAATTTAATATCAAAATGAAATAAGAGCTACATGAAACTTCACTCTAGGGCTGTGTTAGTTCAGTGCTTTTATTCTGATGGCTATAAAGGCATTTTTAAAACTCTTCATGGCTGTGTTTGATTTCTTTAAATATAGTGCATTCTTCTTCAGGATTTATTGCAAGGTATTTAAAGAGGAAGATTGTTGCTATTTTTCCTCAAGAAATTCATTTAATTGCTTCAGACAATGCAGTAACAGATTTTTGTTTCTCTCAGGCTGTGGTTTAAGCTGTAGCAGCTTAAGCGTTGCTCACTTCAGCTAATTAAGACTAATACCATTGTGTTTCTGCCACTCCAGTTCTTTCTAATTTACCCCTTTCTAAAGGAATGCCTATTAATAAGCAAAGCCATAGATGAACAAAGGATAAAAATAATTCTATGCTTCATTTACCATCAATCTCTGCAGCCTCACTTCTGTTGTCTTAACGTGGAAAGAATGTTTAGTTTAAAAAATGTTTGCTCTTCTGAGCTGTTTATTGTGTATGATGGAGCAATCTTAGCATCAGAAACAGATATTTGGGTAATTTTCCTTAATGCTGTATGTGAAAAACAGGCCATAATAAACATTGCATTTAATGCATGTGTACTGCATAAACATGCTAAAAAGTTTTTATAAAGAAAAGGCAAATGACATTTTAACAGTCAGATTTACCTAAGCAAAACGGACCTTGAGAATTTAATATTTATGATTACCTTGATGACGTGAAATCCATCTATTGTGGTTGCTAGGAGCTCTGGTGGCGTAGTGCCTGAGGCATTTGACTGCTAGACAGAAGGTTGGAGGTTCAAACCCACCAGCCATTCCTTGGAAGGAAGATTGGACAATCTACTTCCATAGTGATACTGCCTCGGAAACCCAAGGAGGAGGGGTCACTATGAGTTGGATACGACTTGACGGTAGTGAGTTTTGTTTTTTTTTAAAATTTGTTTTAAAATATTTTTTTTCATGCCAGATTGTATTTACACCGAGGTCAACTTTTTAGAGGTATTACAAATGAAGGGATGGTTAGTATAGAAAATTGGTAGATAATGAAGGAAAAATATATGAGATTATAGCCTTAATGCAGGTTGAGTTGGAGTTCTGAGAACTAGTGTTCCCATATTTTTCTTGGCAGTTGTACCTGTTTCACATGCATGCTTCAAGAGACCATTTATTCCTAAAGCTTGCTTGCTTACTTTGCCAAAGTATTGTAAATAACTTTTCTTGAATGAATTGGAATTTTTCATATTCTTGGTTATTATTGTTATTTTTGGTGAAAATATACACAACAAAACATATACCACCAATTCATTCAACAATTTCCACATGTACAATTCAAAGACATAGGTAACATTCTTCACTTTGTATCATTTTTCTTGATATCCTTTTCCAAATTATTTCACCACCATTAATACAAACTCTTTGCCCCCTAAGCTTTACATCTAACCATTTGAGTTGGTGCTGTCAATTGGATCACATTTAGGCAATTTTTTTTAAAGAGCACAATAATCAAAGCAAACATTCTTTATTTTTCAAGCTAAACTATTGTTTGGTTTAAAGATGACTTCAGGGGATAGTTTTGGTTTAAGGTTTAAAAATTTCCTCAGAGTTGTAGTTTTTGGGAGTCGTTCAGCAAAATGGCTCCAGAAAGGCTGGATTATATGAAAATTTGAAATTCTTTCCCATGTTTTTACCCCTTTTGACCAGGATTCTTCTCTAGAAGAATAACCAGGCACCATCTAGTACTTCTGGTCTCATGGCAAAGAAGGCAGTTGTTTACGTTAGATGGGCATTCCACTTCCTCCTCTTGATTCCTGATTCCTGCTGCTCCTGCAGGCTAGTAGAGAGAAATTGTTGTATCTGGGGTAGTTGCTTGAAATTTTTTAAGACTTCAGGCAGTATACAATGAAGTAGGGGGTAGAAGAGAGGCACTAAAATCAGTATTAGGCCAGTTAACTAGGATGTCCCGTGAAACCATGACCCTAAACCTCTGAACCAGGAAAACTTGTCCCATGAGGTGTTAGTACCAGCAGGTACTCTTTATTGTTGTTATTATAAAAATATATATAACATTTACCAATTCAACTTTTTTCAGGATTATAGTTTAGCGATGTCAATTACGTTAATCCTATTGTGCCAGATTTCCCAAATAATAGCTCCCCTTCTCCCTCTCCCTCTGACCACTGGTAACTACTAATAAACTCTGGTCTATATACATTTGCCTATTGTTATATAAATAAGATCATACAATGTTTGTCCTCTTGTGATTGACTTGTTTCACTCAGCATAATGTCTTTGAGGTTTAACCTTGTATTACAGTATATCAGGACTTCATTTTTCTTTATGCCTGAGTAGTGTTTCATTGTTCCATATGTACTACATTTTGTTTATCTGTTCATCTGTTGATAGAGAATGAATTGGAATTTATTTTGAACCTATAATGTTTAGAATGGGTCTATCCTGGGTTATTCTGTTCAATGGTGTGATAGTTATGTTTGTGTGTCAACTTGACGAGGCCTGGTTGAGTGGCTGGGCAGCTGGTGGTAGTTATTCCCCATAATGAGACTTGCAATCAGCTCCATGGTAGGATCTACCACAAGCAGCTGAGTAGCTTCTTTGGGTATGTGGTGTGCTTCCCATATATAAGAAACACCTTGGGAATGGTCTCTAGCTTACGGCACTCTTAGACCCTGCATGTAGCCATGTTGTTGTTGCTCAGCAGCCTGCCATGCTTTGCCAACCTTGGGACTTAAAATGAACTTGAATTAATGGCCTGCTGTGTGGTTTGATAATATCAGGACTGTGCCCTTTTACTTATCAACCTTGGGCTTGTCAGCCTCAGCAGCCAGCAGCTGTCTGAGTGAAGAAACACCTTTAGCTCCGGTGGGCTGGGAGCAGGAGGCAGAGCTGGACCCCAAGGTTGAGGGGCTTTCCCCCAGCCCCTTGAGCCTGGCACTTTGAACTTGGACTTAAAGCCTCCAAACTGTAAGAGAATAAACTCCTGTTTGTTAAGGCCATCCTATTTGTGGTGTATTCCTGTCAGAGTGGCACTAGGTAACCAGAACAAATAGTATAATCTTTTAGAGATGTGTCACTTTAACAAATGTTACCTTTTCTCTCCAAGTGAAAAGTTCTAATGGAGATTTGGTGCTATCTTGTCTTACTCTGGTGACATAGTAAGGAGCTCTGGTCACGTAGTACCTAAAGCATTTGACTGCTAAACTAGAAGGTTGGTGGTTCAAACCCACTGGCTGCTCTGAGGAAAGTTGATTGCACAGTATACGTCTGTAAAGATTTACTGCCTCGAAAACCCAATGGGGGTCTCTATGAGTTGGAATTGACTCAATGGCAGTGAGCTTTCTTTTTGTCTTACTGAAGAATACCTAGGTTTTAGTTTTTGCTTTTCTGTAGTTTTTTTTTTTTTTTTTTTTTAAATTGTGATTTTGGTGAGAGTTTACAGAACAAATTCATTGTCCATTCAACAGTTCATACACATTTTGTCTCATGACATCGGTTACAATTCTCATAATACAACACCTCTTTTCCTGCTTCCTCTCTGTGGTTACCTTTTCCTATGTCCTTTTGTCTTGTGCATTCCTGCCCTCTGAGCTGTGTCCCTGTGCAGAACACCTAGGTATTTTGTTATGAATTCCTAAAGTATAATGTACTTGATTACCATGAGATATTTTCTTTTGCTACTTATGTCTTTATTTAAATTTGTTGAATAAATATAATTAAATGCTTTTTACCTCACTTGGAATCATTTTAAGAATTCCCGTGGCCCAGCATGTTGGTGATGACAACTGTGTATATATAGTTAAAAAAAAAAAATTTTATTAAATTGGTAAATTGTAACGAATGTATAATATATAATTTTTTTTTCCTATGTAGCATCTTTAGTTATTCCTTCTGGTAGAACTATTCCCGGTTTTACCACAGCAGAACTGGTATGTAACTTATTTAACATATATTTTACAAAATGACTCCCCCCCTCAGTGAATGATGGCAGAATGGGCATAGATATACTTCACAATCCTCTAGTTAAATGGGAAAAGATAGGATGAGGAATGGGGCCATAGTAATAGGTTCATAGCATAGATGTAGGAAAAACTCAGGAGTTTCAGAATTGACGTTTTCTTACCAGCTTTTCCTGTCTTTCAGGGCAGTTGTTAGCATTTGGCAAGACTATAGCTGTGTTAGTGTTAGGAGAGTTCTAAAGTTGCTGAAGTTGAATGCAGTTTAATATACTGTAATATGTTATATACTTGGTGGATCTTAGAGGAAGGATTTTGAGATGGTGCGTTTTTTCTGATTTTTTTTCCCCCTGGTGTTGAGCTATATCATAGTTTTCCCTGTTTTTGAAGTGAAATATTCTGGTAATTATCTCTGTGTAAAGTAGCGGTTTCTTTTCCTCCTTGCATTAGGGGCAGGAAATAAAATTACAACTTATAATAGAAAATTGAGTAGCTTTTCAGGGGGGAAGAATAGCACTTTTTCTTTTTTACCTTTCTTCTGTAGTACTGATGATATATAATTCACTAACTGTTGTTCATTTACTTTCAAACGATTTAAAGGTTTAGTAAGCCATTTATTCCCATTTCTTCATTTAAAACAAACAAAACTCACTCCCTTTACCAGGATTTATGGGAAAAAAAATATGCTTCCATAGATAGGAAACTAAAGAAGAAATATTTCTGGCTTTTAAATTTATGGGATTATCTTTGTTCTGATTATAGAAATAATGTGTTCTTGTAAAAAGTAAAAACAAAAGCCAATACACCGCCCCCCGAGATTAAAAAGTAAAAAATGAAGCACCCTGCACTTTTTTAGCCCAAATATCACTGTTTTAACCATTTAATCTACATTCATCTCGACTTCTTTGAGAAAATTCTGTTGATTCGCAGGGTGATTGTACTGTTTCTGTAATTTTTCACTTAATAATATATATGAATCCTTAACAATGCCAGCAAATATAGATTGATCCTAGAGGTTATACCACAGTGTAATTAGCCTATCTTTTGTTGATGGTCATTTAAATTATTTTCAATTTTTCTAATACAGCACTCCATTGAATATGTGTACATAATGTCTTTATGTACTTGTGTAATAATTTCTAGAAGTAGAATTTCTGGATCAAAAGTCATGCATGTTTTCAATTTTTTTTATCTATTGCAAAATTGTCTTCCAAAAGGATTGTACCAACACACACTTGTAGCAGCAGTTATCTTAGAGAACTTTTTTTTTTTTTAATTACATCCTTACCAACACTGGGTGTTATTAATCTTTTAAATGTTCACAGATCTTATAGGTAAAAATGTATGCTTTTTGATTTAGTGTTTTTTTTAAACCCCGTATGGAGTTGCCATAAGTCAGAACCCGACTAGATGGAAATAACGACAACAGTAAGATGATTTAATTATTACAAAATAAGAATTATATATTATATTATTTGCATTGAAATTCCATAAGTAATCCACTTACAGGCTGGAAGACCCTTGTAAACAGCTGTGGTCCTTATATTTGACCCCTTGAGAATTGGTGGCCCAGGCATAACTAGGGAGTGGATATAAGTTTCATGAATTAATGTTCATTCATTAAGCCTCACTTGGCTTCATTGCTAATAGCTGTAGAACAGCATTTATTTTGATCCCTAATGGAATAACCTAAATTGAATATTAAAAAGTGGTTTTATATAAAGAACTCAGCCCTAATGAACTTTTCAAACTATTGTCCTCCTGTTCTGAATCAGATTTTTTGATTCCCTATGAGACTAGGGGAATAGAAGGATATAAATCCTTTTCTAACTTTCTAATATTAATTTCTCATATCTAGGGCACCTCAAACTCCAGTGCAAATTTTACTTTTCCTTCCAGTATTGGCTATCCTGTTCATGTACCAGCAGGTGTGACACTACAGACTGCATCTGGTGAGAGTATGTTCTAAGGATATTTTGTTTCTAGCATTGGTGCTAACTTCCAGACATTAAGTTTTATGATTTTAATATACTGTATACCAGACTGCTAACGAGATGGCTGGCGGTTCAAACCCACCATCCACTTCTCGGAAGGAAGGTTGGGCAATCTCCTTCCATAGTGATACTGCCTCGGAAACCCAAGGAGGGGTTGCTATGAGTTGGATCCGACTTGACGGCAATGAGTTTGGCTTTTTGTTTTTTTTATACATCTCAAAATACGCCATAGAACCAATAGTGAAAAGAGGCTAGAGTTGGAGAAAAATGTTTAGTGTTTTAAAATAAAAGTAATGTATATGAGTTGTAGAAAATACAAAAAAGTCTACATATTGGTATATTTCCTCCAAACCTGTTGTTCTTTCTAATTTTTTAAAAAAGAAAGTTAGGATTCTATTATACTTACAGTTTTGCTTTCTCCATTTTAAGGTCACCTTTATAAAGTCAATGTACCAGTTATAGTAACACAGACTCCTGCAAGAGCAAGTATTCTTCAGCATCCGATTCAGCAAATATTTCAGCAGCTTGGGCAGCCTTCAGTAATGCAGACCACTATTCCACAATTGAGCCCATCTTCTCTTCAAGCAACTACTGAGAAGTCACAGAGACTGGAAACTGTGTTCCAACAACCCACAATTCTACATTCTGGGATAGTGGATAGAAAACACGTAGAAAATGTCATCACTGACATATTTGTACCTCCTGGAAATGAGCATAAAATCATGTGTGAAGCTTTGTTGAATCAGCAGGAAAGCCCTCAGTATATCAGTCTTCCAGGTGTTGTCTTTGCTCCACAAGTCTCTCAGATAGATTCCAGTGTGGAACCAGTGCTCAGTGTTTCGGCTAGCATGACTCAAAATCTGCATGGTGGACCCTTTTCCACAGGCCCTCAGGAGGCTCTGCACCAGCACGTGCCTGATGTTCAGCTTCATGTTGTTAAAAATAGGATGTATGGATGTGCTTCTGTAAAGCAACCAAGAAATATAGAGGAGCCCAGCGGCTTACCTGTCTCAGAGAAGGTAGTTCTCTGTTCAACTTAATAGTATTAGGGGGCAGATAGCGATCAGTGTCTAGACTTCCAGAGTTTTTTTAAGCAGTAAAGTTAATCGAAGTTTATTTTTGCTTGTTTATTTTCCTTTAGAAGATTGCTGCTTTATTATTTTTCATATAACTATTAGTTCTTAAAGTACTTATGCTCAGCATTTCTAAATTTTTTACTTCAGTCAATGAATTAGAATATTTCTTTTCAGAAAATGCATTTGTTTTAAGGTAATCCATTTTACCTCTTCTTTACCTTGTGAGAATTTTTTCTTTCCTGGCAGATAAAATTTAAAAGACCCACAAATTAATCCGACTAATTAAACAGATTTGAGGTAATTTTCTGTCATTTAGCATGCAAAAGAAGTCCTACTGTTTCTCTTCTTTTACCTAATTTTCCTAAATTCCTTTGTGGAAGTTTTTCTTACACAAGAACTTATTTTTCCAGTACATGTTTTGTTTTTCCTTATCTGCTAAAATACTAGATTTATTTGATTTTGTTTATAATTTAAACAACTGAAAAATAGCTTTTAGTTAATGTTCTTCACTGAAAATAGGCCTGAGATAATAATTTATAGGCAATTCATAGTGATGGGAGAAAAATTTGTAGGAAATTTTGGATGGTTAAACTTTTTTTAAAAAAATCTTATATTATCTTTTTCCAAGTAGCTTATGTTGTTGTTATGTGCCGTCAAGTTGGACTTGACTCATAGCGACCCCTCCTTGGGTTGCCAAGGCAGTATCACTAAGGAAGTAGATTGCCCAACCTTCCTTCCGAGGAGTGGCTGGTAGGTTTGAACCGCCAGCCTTCTGGTTAGCAGTCAAGTGCCTAAGGCACAATGCTACTAGAACTCCTAAGTAGCTTATAGCTAATTCTTTTTAAGACTTAATGACACCTGACAAATAATTCAAAGGTTATAACATTAGCTAATCATTTAGTGGTTCTCTAGAGCTACTGTACAAATCTGTTGTTGTTGTTGTGTGCTGTCGAGTCAAACCCGACTCATAGCGACCCCTCCTTGGGTTTCCGAGGCAGTATCACTACGGAAGTAGGATTGCCCAACCTTCCTTCCGAGGAGTGGCTGGTGGGTTTGAACCGCCAGCCCTCTGGTTAGCAGGCAAGTGTCTTAGCCACTATGCTACCAGAGCTCCCGTAGTAATGGATAATTAAGTGCTACCTTGATGTTTTATTTTTAGAATGTTTTAAATTTCCTAGGTAAAATGGGAAAGACAAGCAAAGGAAATCACTATCTGAAACTATTTAACTCTTTTAGAACATGTCAGATGTTTGATGAAATCTGTTCAAGACCTTTTAGCAAGTTTGTTTTCAGTTTTGATATAAAGTGCTGAGATTTAAGTGTGTTGTTTAGTTTGAGAATCTTTTCATGGTATTTTTCATATGGTACATAAGACTGTAAAATTCAGTGTAGCCTGAGTTCATAATTATGAAACATCTGGACTTGAGGTAAAAAAAAAAAATGACTAAATTTAAAATTAATGTTAGTGTTCATCATATTAGTTTTGGAGGCATCTTCCCCTTGGCCTCTATATGAACTTTGCACATTTTTGGTGTGACGAGCCAAGGACTTGTTCTACTATTACTCATTAGATGTCATCTTGTACTTTGTTCCAGAGTAGGAAAATAGATTAGTTAAGGGAGATTAATCAAGGATTGTTTAGGAAAGTGCTAGTGGGGGAAGTGGTTGAAAGCTTGAGCTTTGAAGCTATGCACTGCCATTGAGTCGATTCCAACTTATAGCAACCCTATAGAACAGAGTAGAAATGCCACGTAGTGTTTCCAAGGCTGTAAGTCTATTACTATTATTTTTTCAATCACATTTGAGTAATTTTTTATTGAGGATATATATTTTATAGGGTGGCTATAAATCTAATTAATAAGACTGCCACATCTTTTTCCTGTGGAGTGGTTGGTGGTTTGAACTTTTGGTTAGCAGCCAAATGCTTTAACCACTGCACCACCAGGACTCCTTTTTGAAGCCACAGCAGGTTCAAATTCCAGATTCACCACTTACAAGCAGAGCTATATAATGTTACTCAGTTATTCAGTTGTTGTGTATAAATTGAACATAATGCCAACCTCATAATTTTTAGGATTATTTGAGATCATGGATATAAAATATTTAATAGCCTCAGAGATCAGTGGTACTGTGCTTTGTGGGTTTATCATATATTGGGAGACTTCATTTAGCTTTAGTAGCTTTAAAATAGATCTTATCTAAAACAGAGTCCCTGAATAGTGTACACAATTAATATGATCAGCTGCTAATTGGAAGGTTATCCGACTCATAGCGATCCCTCCTTGGGTTTCCGAGGCAGTATCACTACGGAAGTAGGATTGCCCAACCTTCCTTCCGAGGAGTGGCTGGTGGGTTTGAACCGCCAGCCTTCTGG